CCAAAACAAATTTTATAGTTTACACCCAAACAGAGTACACATATTGACAACACGACTAAGTAATTTGACTGTCTTATCCACACACAAGAACTTATTCCGATGGCACTGACTTGTTCATTGAAACAGAAATGTAGTTTTGAGAGATGAACTAATGATTTTAAAACTGGCTTTTGCTACTAATCCATGGGGGATTGCTATTTGAATGCATTGATTTGAGAAATGCACTTACTGTTTTGCAAATTTTAATTGTGATCTGAAAATGTACCAAAGCTACTGTAAAAACAATACTTTAGCAAAACATGACCACTTAGGCTACATCTGACTTATGTTTTCTTGTGCAGCTGGATGTCGGACTGATGAAAAATAATAGTTTGCATTGAACAAAGCCGATTAGCTGAAGTCACACTGGTGTGACGGTCAACAGAGTATTCCACTTAGAGTATTTTCCAATGGTTTATTTTCAGAATTTATGAAGGTGTAGCAGACAAAATAGAACAAATGAGTTCACGTATTGTACAAATTCTGGCCCTTTGTCATTGAGGAGTGGGGTTTTGAATCACCAGAACCCCCCCTGGCTACAGACCTGATAAAAATCACTTGAATCACTTTTTTGAAGTCAATTCACAATTTTAAATAGTATTTTGCATGTAATTTAAACCTATAAGTTTTAATTAAAATGTGATTGTTTTTTTTCACAAAAATTTTAGAACTATAAAATGTTTCAAGCTTTTCATTTTTGTGTACCCAAATGTTTTGGTAAATTGATGAACACCAAATTAAGACATGTTATATCTAGTGTTATAAGTGTATATACACCTAAAAAATAGAGCTAGACATAATTTGTAAAAAAAAAAAAAAAAAAAAAAAACTTTTTTTTTTGTTTATTTGTAAGAACGATTTACTAATAATGCTTCATTTTAAACTGTATATTAAAACAAAACAAATAAAATGTTATTAAGACTAATAAAGAAGATTACAATAAAAGTTGTTAAAAGCAGCACTTTAGATCTTTGTAATAATAAATTAGAGATGGAAAGATCAGTTTAATTTACTGGGGATTCATCAGTTACTTTCGGATTCTGGGCTGAAAGAAACGAGCCACTTGTTTACATACAGTGGGGGTGTGAAGAAACCTATCTCAGCATGAGCCATTCAGATACAAACAACTGCATATGAGGAAAGAAACATGTTCATGTACACTTGTGCTCGGGGTATTTGAAGGTTTTGACTTCTAATTTAACAAGGGGAAAATAATTTTACAACGTTAATCTTCCTACATCCTGTAGAGGGCAGGCTAGGACACAATGAAGAAAGTGGCCAATGAAAGAATATGAAATTTCATAATAATCTCCAATAATGAGAGAGTTCAAATGCATTTGAAATATATGTAGTAATACAGAATAGATCACCTAAAAACAGGAATTCTGTGACTATTCACTCACCGTTTCTTCTTCTGTTGAACACTGTTTTATAGCAAGTAACAAATTTGTAGCCTATAACCTCTAAGTATTTTTTCTACTATGAAAGTCTGTCCAGTTTCCAACATTCTTCTAAATAACTTCTATCCAGTTTGAAAAAAAAAAAGTAACTCAAAGCCACGTTGAGGACAAGTGAATTTCCATTACTATATTATTTTTTACATCTATGAAAAATGTCATTCTGACACCCAAGCATGTTTCTTTCTACAATTTCAACAGGGGCTGGCTTTAGCACATTTCCAGATTCAAGTTAATCAACATAATGCCACAATAAATGACATCTCACTTTAAACTGAACAATGAACACTAACACACACATCATTAATGCTAATGTTTTTTTCACAGCTGGCAAACCATTGCATTCCTTCACCCTGTCAGCAGGATTTAAAACCATTTAATCCTTGGTTCATAGTTCAAGGCTTAAATTCAAACTGCGCAGGGCTGATTTACATCCTCCACAGGTCCCCTGTGTGACAGCACGTGTCCCGCTCGCCCTTCAAACTGCTCACATGCTGTGGCAAAGCCGCTCTTATTGCCTGGGAATCCCACTGGGACTGTACTCCATGATTTGGAAGTGGAGTGAAATATGGGCCTTTAGTATTAGCTCTTGACAATACAAACAGGGTTAAAATGTTGATGCCACATACTGAGGTCCTGGCAGATGAGATTTTGATCTCATGCACTGTACAATAAGACAGAATGAAATATAAAGATTTTGGAAATTATAAAACAGAGCTGTACCCATATTTTTAGCCAATAATCAGTACTGGCTGACTTAAAAACAGCTGATAGTAAACTGCAAAGCAAAAGAGGCTGGAAATGCTTTAAAGTCATATTGCATGTGAAGAAAATGTCTCTTGTGTGGATTAACCTTGAACTGGGTGACAATGATGACAAAAGTTTGTGATGTTGGCGATGGTTAACCCTTTATAGGGCGCTCATTGAAACACTCATTTAAAGAAATGGTTACGGGGATAATTGCAAGACCTTTGATTATAAAATACATTGTTATAAATATGTTCAGTGTCATTGAAGTTAGCATATTTGAATCCTAGCACAATTAAGGGTTACATTTTGAGAGGTGGAAGTTAAAATTGTGGCACCAATAATCTTATTACACAATACTATATGTTTGGTTTGGTTTTGTTTACATTAAAGGGATAGTTCACCTAGGGCTGGGTGATTCATTAAAAAGTAATCAAAACTGACATTCAGAACCTACAATCAGTCTAAATTTTCAGATTAGTTTAGCTACCACGTGTGGTCAAGTGACTCCGTTGTGTTAAGCTCTCAACCTCAAGAATGACCCATTCACGAACCCTTCTGTTGGTTTTAGGCAATGTGTGTTTTAATTTCAGTTGTTCAGCGCTGATGCTCAATAAATAATCATAGATAGTAGAGTGTGTGTTTCCTTTAATTACTTCAAAATCCAGTAATGCACCATTCAAAAATCTCTCACATGCAATGTGAGCATATTTACTGTACAAAACCTGTAAGTGAACTACACCGTAATAAGTGAAAACTTAAACAAATTACTTTGACTTGTTACAATTAAACAAATTAAGTTATACAAACCTAATTAATGATAGTTTTCAGTAATAAATTGTTCTTTTAGTGTGACAAGTCATTTATCATAGCGAACAATACTTGTACTTACAACAAAATATTAAAGTATTATTGTTATTATTATATTAACATAAGGAAATTATTTGTACTGTAATAAAAGCACTATTAGTATTATATTATCATGGGAAGGAAATGATTTGTACTGCGTGTTCTCTTCCATTCTTGTTCTCTTAAATAATTTACAAAAATTTGTTACACCTAAAAGAACATACTTGGTTTATTAGTGAAAACTGTCATGAATTAAGAAGGACAAACTTAATTTAATTGTAACAAGTTGAAGTAATTTGTTTAAGTTTTCATTTTTTACAGTGTATGAGGCCAAAACAATAAAAAAATAAATAAAATAATCCTTCATTAATCATAATCCAGTTCAAGATGTTCAATTAATCGAGATTTTGATTTTAGGCCAGATCACCCAGCCCTAAGTTCTCCCATCACATTTTCCAAACGTTTTCGAGTTTCTTTCCTCTGCTGAACACAAAAGAACATATGATGAATGTTTGAAATGGGGAGTCATTGACTTCTATTGTATTTGTTTTTCCACCTATGGAGGTCAATGGTTACCTATTTCAGCATTCTTTAAATATCTGCTTTTTGTGTTTATCAGAAAAACGAAACACTTAAAGGTTCATAATCATATTTGAGAATAAGTAAATGCTGAGCAAATTAAAATTTTTGGTTAAACTTTCCCTCAAGTCTTATTGCTAGGGTGCTTTTACAATTGTTTTTCATCAATTGTTTTGTTCTGAAACATGGATCAAAATGAATACAGTGTTTATTTTTGTTCTTGGTGTGGTTTGTTTTCACACGGCACAGTTTCTAAACAGACCAAAATAGTTAAAACAAGTCATGTGCGAGTAAACTCTCCTCACATTGGTCAGAGTTTTGGGGTTTATTTCAGAGTCCCACAGATTCCACTCAGCTGTCAAGTTGGTATTTTAATTTATGATGATAAGCAATAAGACATTATAAGTGAAAGGGTGCACTTTAATTTTGACACCCATAGACATCATCTTTCAGTTGTCAAGTTTTGTAAAAATCTATCTATTGAATTAATCAATCTATATATAAAAAAACACTGGCGAGAATTATGCATTATTGGCTTAAATTATAGAGAGAAAACAGATGAACCGAGACTCCAGTCAGATTCTGAAGCTGTTGGTCTTTCTTTCGAGATGTCAGTGCAGAAATGAACAAAACAATAGGTCTAATACAAAATATTATAAGATTAAATATGGAAATGTTATGAGATAGTAATAACTGTCAATTTTACTAACAGGTAAATAGCACTCTGTAAAGTTTCAGCTTGCTTTTACTTTCGTATTCGACATGAAACACAATTACCGGTAGGAGTAATGGCATCCCGTCATTCTCTCCTCATTTAGCTGTATATACGGCAATTACAAAGACATGATGCACTGTGATATAGCCTGGTTCATTAGTTCGTTGGAGTGTTTTGCTTTCTCACTACTATTGATCTGCTTCAGAGTTTGTTTCAATCGAGCCGAGACCACCTCATCGAGACCACCTCATTCCGGCGATCACGGACCGATTGATTTGGCGTGGATCCGAGCTGGATTGCTGGATTCACATAAGCCAAATGAACCACGCTAAGAAGGCAAACGAGAAAGGTTCCGAATATGAGTAACTGCTTTCAGACACAAAATGAAAATGCCTTAACTCTGAATCAGCCTCTTGAAATAGAGATTGGCATTTCTTCCAGAATTGCGTGTTTTTATCATTTTAAAAGAAGATGTAAACAAAAGCACTGAATTATCGATTGTGGCAGATATCACTCAGAATAATCAGCTACTGGCATTCGCTGTGCATACTTTAAAAGTTCAACAACAGATCTAATGAAATGAAGCACAAAAAAGCCACTGCTTACAACAAAGACATAATAAAATAAATCTAAATCTTTAATTCTGTCATCATAGTAACCCTTTCGAGACTTGACATCTGGCTAAAAGTGAAAGGGTCAAACATACATGTATACGAAAGAAAAAAAAAAACTAAAAGCATTCAAACAACCGCTCTACAGATGATAAAAGGCCAAAGAGAATGAATGGCATTTTTGGTGTACAGGCAATTAAGGCAGGTGTGGATCACCGCGTTTGTACATATTTATATCCAAGGCACCCAAGAGATACATTCTTAAAAATGTGTCGAACAAGCAAAGCTGTGGATTTAGAAAACGTCTAACTTTATCACCCCAACAGCAACTACTGAGCTTCACGCTAGCGTAACCATTCTCAGAACATATTGCAGAGTGAAAATGCTCACCAACATGAGAACGTGTGCAACTCTAGGTAGTGTCAAAATAATGATGACCTCACTACTGACCTATTCATGTCGATCACAAACCTTCTAAAAGATCATCAATGAAAACGAGACGTTCTGTACTAAAATATGCCTCTTGCATGGTAAATATCTAGTTTAAAATGTCTTTTGAAAGCTTGTTCAGTGTCCTTATATGCACTTCTTACACTATCGGTGCCTAGCAAAGAGCATTACACACTTGTGAAGAACTGTGAACTACAGTGGATTAAATAATATAAAATCAGTGTCGATGTGCCACCTTTTTCCACAAGAGCACTCAATGCTCCAGTATTAGACTTGTGCTGCAGCTTTAAATGCTTGTTATGGTTGAGTTTTAAACCAGACTGCCAGGCCAGGAGACCACGGTCAGAGTGACTTTGTTCTTCTGCAGTTTCAGCATGGGTATCAAGGAGGAGTTATTCATGCCCACTGTAGTGACTCCATTCACTGCCACAATCTCATCACCACACCTGTAGGAGAGACCCAATAAAGCCATTCATTTTACAGACTCACTCTATAAAAACAAAACTAGACTTAATATTCAGTTTTAACATTGATTTGATGCCACTGAACTAGTTAAACTTGTGCTACAAAAAATTACCTTATGAATGAGCTACAGAAGTCTTTTATGCATTAATTTTTCCCATGGGGACTTTTATACAAGCTACAAGTAGGATCAAACTATTATAAACCTTGATTTGAAGCAAAGAATCACATTAAAATCACACATTAATACAAAAGTTAATTTTTTTTAACAATTAATGGGGGGGGGGGGTCAAATTAATGATAGAGAAATATTAAAATGCTTGTATTATGCGATTCTTTGAAAATATGCCAAATTAATGAAAAAAGTCAATAGTATATATAAATTGATTAACTTATAACAGATCAGCCTAAAGGTTAATACGTTATTGTTAAATATCAACTTCAAATGGAGAAATTGAATGGATTTTTGTACTTCCACATGTAGACTCTTGCGTGCTCTTATCTTGCTATAGCTGCTTTATAGCAGAATTTGAATAACTTTTCAGTTTATTACCAAGAATCTGTTTTGAAACAATCTCTAGAATACAAATAGCACATTAGTTTACATTTCTAAATGAATCTTTTGTGCTCATCCAGACTGCATTTATTTGATCAAAGGAGTATTGTTACAACTTAAAAGAATTGTTTTGAAAAGCCCAAACTTTTTTTGATTGCTTATTTATTTTGATTGCTTATTTATTTTGATTGCTTATTTATTTTGATTGCTTCAAAATAAATGGCTGAGTAGACAGCATATAATTCCAGCTTAGTTGCATCATTTTAACCCAAATATCCCTGATACATGCTATAAAATGTAAACAAGACAAGGAAACTTTATTTAACTGCATGTGGGAGTGTACTAAACTCAGTTGTTTGTCATTCATATTTTAAGTCAAATCATTAGTTAAGGTAATTTCTCCTGATCCCGGCTTGTGTATATTGTATATTTGTCAAATTGAACTTTAATGTGACCAACCATGAAAGATTGCTGTTGAATTTATGTTTGCTGGAAGCTAAACATGTAACTGCTTGTTCTTGGAAATAGGAAGACAGTCCAGCTGTATTACAGTTTATAAAATGAATGACCTCTTGTCTGGCCTTAGATAGGATAACCTATTTTTTGAAAAATAAAAATTCATATATTTTGATCTTTTTAGAAAATATTGCATGACTTTTTGGAGAATCTAGATGGTGACTCTTTACTTGAACTGATGAACATGAAAGTATATAGTATAATATGTATGTTATTGCTGTATTATTTAATATTAGCATTGCTTTTTATTTTTATTTTTTCTAATCAAAGTATATTACATTATTCTAAGTTGGTATTATTCTTGTTGGATTTTTTGGGATTTTGCTAAACTGAAAAATTAAACATGTTTTTACAATTTGTATGACAATGTTTTAAATAAAAACTGTTGTTAAAAAAAAAATAGTTTTGATAAGGACAATTTAACCTTTAACTAACCCAGCATCAATAATGTCACATAATCCTCCAGAATCACTAATACATTGCCTTGGTGGTCAAAGGCATATTTTTAGACATATCAGTGTTGAAACTGTTGTGCTTTAATAGTTTTCAATGGCTCTTCAATATATTTACTCACTTGAGGCGTCCGTCAAAGTAAGCTGGTGTTCCAGGCACAATGGTCTTGATGAAGAAGGGCTGTTGGCCACGACTCTCCTCATATCCTCCCACAATACTGAAGCCCCAGCTCTCACTGTTGGTCTTCATCAGCATTATATCTCGACACCAGTGGATGCAACTTCAGATTTAAAAGTTGAGATGGTAAAATTATGAACTTTGCCAATGTTTATGCCCTGCTGCCAAATAATTTGCAATGTATAGCAGTTTAAAGATATGTTAGATTCACATATAGCAATATCAGATATTAATAAATATTGAGGCGAGGCAGTGGCGCAGTAGGTAGTGCTGTCGCCTCACAGCAAGAAGGTCGCTGGTTTGAACCTCGGCTCAGTTGGCATTTCTATGTTGAGTTTGCATGTACTCCCTGCCTTCACGTGGGTTTCCTCCGGGTGCTCCGGTTTCCCCCACAGTCCAAAGACATACGGTACCGGTGAATTGGGTAGGCTAAATTGTCCTTAGTGTATGGGTTTCCCAGGTAAGGGTTGCGGCTGGAAGGGCATCCGCTGCGTAAAAACTTGCTGGATAGGTTGGCGGTTCAATCCGCTGTGGCGACCCCGTATTAATAAAGGGACTAAGCCGACAAGAAAATGAAAAATAATAAATATTGAGAGCCTATGATCGAAGAAAAAAATAATGTGGTGAATCCATTAACATCATCAACCATAAGGCATTAGGGTGTGTGGATATAATATGGGGAACGATTACATATGGTTAATTTACATATAATACTGATATTGCAAATGCCAGTTCACAAAAGGCAATAACTGTAATACTATAAATATAGTTATAAAATTTTCTAAATAAAAAACTGAGATCCAGACCTATAACAAAATTGATACAGAGAAACTGTATTGGTGGAAGCATTTGAGTTTAACAAAAAAGTATTTTAGGAACCCTTAAATAACTGACTTTCTTCACAAATTATTTACATGGAAGAAAAAAACTTCCAAAACTTTATATTAACTTAATTTTGATGGGTCAGTGTGAAAATGCATACATTTGTGTGCATGTGTGCATATTTTATTATCACATAAAACAATAACATGCCTGTGAAGTGAACATGCAGCATAATCTGGCAGCCAATCAGACCGTCTTTAATGTTGCATTTAATAATGAGCAACACAACAGAACTAGTGATAAAACAGTTAGGTCCCACCAACCTGGGCAGCCCGAGCCAGCGGGTCCAGAGAGGAACCCAGTTGATGTCATCATCTTTGGGGCCCTCCATTGTGTCCATGTCTTCTCTACTGCCAGATTCTCCATCCTGTTCTTCGTCATCAGCAAACGTCTGGATGACTCGCAGCGTTACTGTGCTTTGAGCAGTCTGGGTCTTCAGGACAGTCACTGCCTCGTTGTAGGTCAGATGGGTCAGGTCAATACCATTTATACTCAAAAGAACATCACCTGTACACCAACAGCCAAAACAGCACTTTCAACACAAGGTTTTGTGCAGTGAGAGAGAGAGAAACAGAGAGAGAAACAGAGAAAGAGAGATAGAGAGAAAGAAAGAGTGAGAAAGAGAGAGAGGGGCATTTTTCGTGAAGAGACATGAGAAAGAAAAACTTCAGACCTGTTTTGACGGTGCCGTCTCTGTGCAGGCAGCCCACAGGCTGAACACTAGTGATGTAGACAGGCAAACGGCTGCGACAGTCTCTGCCACCTGCAATGGTGATGCCTAGAGACTGCCGAGGCTCCTTCTTTAGGGTCACAGTCTTCTCTTGACTGGAGAATCCGCCTGGAGGCTCCTGAAACCAGATAATGACAAATAAGAAATCATTTAGAAAAAAAAAATTCATAATAAAAGCATTAAGTGAGGCTATTTATAACTTCTATCGGTAGGTGAAGGGATTAATACACGTTTAACATTTAAAAGGTTAAAGGGAAATAAAAACTAAAAGGCTGTTTTCTGGATTGTCAGGTTAATTACTCCACAATTACTCAACGACTACTGTGTCACATGTCACTTCAGAGAGCATGCTTGCATCCAGATTTGGCACTTAAGGAACATTTATTATCATTAATTTTCTAGTTAAATATTTTTGTAGAAACACTGTGCATTACTCTATTACATTATCTAGATTTATTTCACGTTTTTTGGATTCTCTATATGAGAACACACACACACAATAAGCCCTTCTTTTTCAATATTTGTAAGTATTGAGCAATATATATTTTTTAAGACTTCATCAGCTACAGAAAAACACGCTACTGTATGATCATATCCACACATTCAAGCATGACTAATTATTAGTTAGTTCTGTAATTAGGGGAAGGGTGTAAAGTGAAAGTTTAAGACATGTGCCTGCTCCCTGCTGTGAAAACATTTGTAAAAACAAACATCCCAGATCCTGCTGCGAAGTGGAGAGATGTGTTAATGTGAGCGGCTCTGGCGGCGCTGACATCATAACTCATGGATTGTGGCAAAACGCTCTCCTTCATCCTTCAAAACGCTTCTACTCATCCCGCCAGAGTCTCCAGAGCCCCAGAGGGGGAAGGGCGGCCTCTTCCTACCCAGCAGGATGGCCCTTCCTCCCAGCAGGAGCCCAAGCTTCATCTCCACAGGTGAAAGCTAACTGTCACCAGCTTTGATCCCCGGCTACAAACAAACACAGTGGCTGCAGCAGCACAGAGAGCAGCACCCCGGGCCTTTTGATCAGGGACAGATCCCAGAAAGAGAGGGGGTCTCTGCTTTCATCTCCCGCTAGCTAGCCTGTGTTTGCTGCCTCTGCCTTCAGCTGGTGAGGAAGTGTCACAAAAGCAGGGTGCGACTGGTCTCTGGGTGAAAAGTCACCTCGCGCTCACACACACACACAGGCTTTGACAATAGCAGCAGAAGCTACGCAGTTGAGGTCAGAAAAAAAATTTAACCATATCCACAGAACACTTTTTGATACACTTTAAAAGGGTGTAAATTATTAACTACCTAGTAATAAGTAAAAAATGGCTATATGATTTAATACATGGCAATGCAAGACATAACAGTTTATGACTGAAACGGTGAAATGAGAGAAACAGATTCAGCATGTTCAGCATCTCACTTCGGACATTGTTGAGTGATAAAACTGGAGTTGAAAAAAAAGGCTAATGCAATTACTAGAAAAGACAAGAAATAAATGCATTTTTAAAATCAAAAGCATAATTTCATTTGCTATTAAAATACATTTACATTATTTCTATTTTATATGCAGTTATATGTATTGCAGCTCAAAGGTTTGGGGAGGAGTCATTTTTAATACATTTTTAAATCAAGCAGGATGCATTAAATCAGGAGTCTGAAACTGCCAGCCTGTGGGCTATTAACAGCCCTCCCTCCGGTCCGCTGAAACATATTTTTTTAAAATTACTATACTATATACACACACACACACAATAAAGAAAGATATTGGGAAGTACAATTGCTAGTAAAGTTAATAAAGATACCCAATCTGCTTTCTGCTGTTACGCTATCAGTTAAACTTTTGGTTAAGTAACAATTGATTGGAACATCACTATTATTATTATTATTTTTTATATTATTATTTTTATATCTATTATTAAATTGTAGTATTTTCATACCAATTTACACTACACTTTAATACGTACAGCAAAAAAAAAAAAAAAAAAAAGAATGAGCAGACACTCTGGGTAAGAATGTCTTAGTGCATTAATTACATCAGGTTTCCACTTTTTTTGTTGTGCTTAACTGTGAAAGCGCCCACCTTTAAATTGTCAGTCACCGATATGGCCCCCCACCAATTTGAGTTTGAGACTTTGAGGAGGAGTCATCAGTTTTCAACATTAGTAGTACTGCTACTAATTTTTTACTAACATTAAGTATTTTTAAGCACTAAAAGATTAAATCCAATTTATTTCTGAAAAATCTGATTGGAGCAATGAGAAATAAAAAATAAATGAATAAAGCAATTTAACATTTAAACTTCATGTAAATTAACAGTTACCTTCATGTATTCAGAGTGGCGTCTGAAATACTGTGGTTCGGGGACTCTCCGGGCCCCTCTGCTCTGTCCCTCACCACCCTCCTCGGAGACATCTTGAAGCCTCATCACTACAAAGTTCACACGCATTTCACTTGCCTGCAACATGCATAAAACACAAGAAACACATTTAACTATAAAAACAGGAATCATATAAATCAATAAAGTGTTTAATAGCACAAGTCAATGTCTTGTACAATCTGCTTTTTCTCTCTGGAGTGAATCTATAGGTGTACTCACACTAGGCCATCCGAACCGTGCCTGGGAGCAGATTAGTTGGACGGCCCTGGCCCAGTCAGAAGAGGTGTGCCTGAGCACAGTTTGGTTGGGCTTAGGCACGGTATGCTTGTAGTGTGGGTGCAAAGCACACACGAGCATGAAAAGAGCGATGTCACTTTTACGGGACTGTTTCTTATGGATTTGCTAATCATTCTTATTTTTCAGTGAACGCAAACAGTCATAGTTGATTAAATAAGCAACCCTCCTGCTGCACGTCAGCTGCACCTTCGGCAAACCTCCTAACACATGCAGCACGATGAGTTTTTAAACCATTTTGAGCATTAAAAGTTGTGGATCTGTTCAGCAAAAAGTTTGACTGTCTCATGGCATCCCAAACGACTTAAAGTAATACAACACGATATAACTAAAGCAAACTCAATTGTACTGAGCGCGAGTGCTTCTCTTCAAAACTGAACAGTCACATCAATGCGTTTAATGCATCAAAAGCATGCTCAAGCTCGGAAGGCAAAATTAAAATGTAAATGCGGGATGAGGGGAAGAGGGGAGGGGAGACAGTCACATCCAGGCACAGTTTAAGAGAACCTTGCCTAGCGTGAGTACACCCTAGGAGTCCTTCCTTTCTGTACCTGTATGATCTGAGCTGCACTCTCTGGGGTGCCATGTCGCAGGTCCTGTCCATTAATGCCCAGCACTTTATCGTTGTTCCTCAATTTGCCATCTTTGGCCGCCAGTCCTCCAGGGAGAAGGTCCAGGATGAAAACTCCTGGCTCCTCAGACTTGCGGATGAGTTTGATGCCAAGCGCCTCTGAACGCTCATGCTTCACCAGGGTGACCTGGATGACAGTACCGTGGTTCTGGTTGGTACTGGGTGACTGTGTTGGAGGTGAAGCTGAGGGCTGAGTGTGATGTTCGGGCCGGGGTTTGAAGCCCTTCTCCTGCATGACAGTGAGCCTGAGGCGGGAACACGGCTGCCGAATCACAGCAATGGCACGACTGTGAGAGATAGATGCCAGACTGACATCATTCACCTGAAAAAAAATAATAAAAAAAATCACAGTGTTTTGTTTGAGGTGGAAAATTACTGAAGTAGTGCCAGATCACACTGTACAAATGCTGGATTCCACACAATTCCTATATGTTGTACCAACACAAATCTATTAAGTCTACTTAATTTTTACAAATTTAAGTGGATTGAACATAAAACAATGAAGTTGTCCTAAAAACAAACTTAAGAATTATGTTATTTCAACTCATTTGAAATAAGTTGTTTTGAACAAGCAGCAAAAGTCATTTTTTGAGTGTACAGTAGATTAAGTGATACTTGTATCAAGCAATATCAAATCTTCTGTAAATTTCCATAATAATGAATATACTATAAAGTTAAACTAAACGGAGCTGCTTGTTTACACCACATATTGTCTATGGCTGTTTATGTGCTAGCAGTAACTGCACTCAGGTTCTTTATGCATGTTTTAACTATTATTGGCATGATTTAAATGTATGATATTTTGGATGACAGTGTTTAAAGTCCCCATGAACCGGAAACTGCGAACTTAAGTTTTTTCCTATTGTGACGCTGTTTGTAGAGAAACAAAATATTAAACGAGACAACAGTGGGCACGGTTTGTTTTTTTCTACTGCAAGCTAAATGGATGTTTCAAAGTAGGCATTTCATTCAGAAAGATCGGGAAAAGGGTTTGGGGAGATATTTTGTCCATATTGCACTGCCCTTGTGATGTACAACCAAGTAAAACAAATGTACTGTCAAGTGTTTGGAAGACGAATCAGAATCAGCACTTAAGTGGACGAAAATAGAGGACCTTTAGTGGCCAAATGATTGGAGAGGTCTAGCTGACATTAACAGAAAGAAATCCCTCAACTCCCTGGTAGATCAAGCTATGACATTTTCATTAAAGATGACAGGCTAAATCTCAAAGTAAAAAAAAAAGACCACAAAATCATAATGCCATTTTGACTTAAAATTTCTGACCAGCCAAAACTCTAATATGGCTATTTCTCAAAAGTGTCCATTTTTTTGTCAATATTTGCTCAAGATTCAGAAAGTAAAAGCCCTGGTTTAGTATTGACTGTGTCGGGAATGAGTTTAATGGCAACAGATTTTGTTCCCTCTAAAAAACACCATATTTTTTAAAAACCTAAAATAACGCTGTCATTTGGGAGGATTTTTTGGACACCAATAAACAAAAACTCCATCCTGCATAAGACTTGGAACAGCCCTTGCGATATTAAATGCTGTGTCGAACCAGAAAAGGGGAAAAGAGAGATCCCATTTCAAGAAATAAGATATCCAAGCCATCCACAGATCTCTTTTCACAGGCCATACAACCCTAAAAAAAAGTCAAAGGAGCTCCATTTAGCATACAGATCATCCTAGGACTGTCATTGGCCTAAATGAATTTCCTTATATGTGATTTTAAAGAAGACAGGATGAGCTAGATACACTCGTTTAATTCAGTTATTTATTCTGATCCAATCCTACACCTATGACCTTATTCTGAGGAACACAAAGGAAAGTATTTTGAAGAAAGTTGTATTGACAAAAACAGCCAATGGGACAGCCAACAGCCTGTTTGGTTATCAACATTCTTCAAAATATCTCATGTTCAGCAGAAGAAAGAAAGTCATACAGGTTTGAAATTACACATGGGGGAGTAAATGACCACAGATGTCTCAGTTTTTGGGTGAACTCTCTCTTTAAGTTTGAATTTGAATGTGAAGCCAGTTGTGCTGGTTTGCTTTAATAAAGCATTGCATTCCAGGACGGCCAGAGGCAGAAATCCTAGGAGAGCGCAGGATTGTGGGAACTAGAATGCAGTTTTTCTTAACTGATCTGACTTGTAATTGAGAAGCATTGCTGTACAACTTCAACTTCTTAAGAGTAGATTAAATTGTTTAATACAAAATTAAAGAGTCTATAAAACAAGCACATTGTGTTTTTGCGATGTCATCTAAACATTGAGATAAAATCTGTTACTATTACTGTACTTGTAAAAGTTTACTATACAAATTGTACGCTTGCATTGTAGTGATGTGGGGAGTGTGAATATTTGACAAAAAATAATTATGTAATGAACTAATTATACACACACACACACACACGCACACTTATTACTTATCAGCAGAAACAATAGGAGTCAGCAAAAGATGCTCAAAATGTCTAAAGCCAGAAGACATTAAGGCATTAAGAAAGAAAGAAAGAAAGAAAGAAAGAAAGAAAGAAAGAAAGTTGGCAATTGGCAAATTCTAGGTGAGTAATATCAAAGGTAATGCTGTACTCTTATTTAAATCACAATGGGTACTAGTGTTTGTGTGAGAGTATTTCACCACAAAAACAATATTTTAATATGATGCTGCAGTTTTAAAAGAAAAACATATTGCAAAGTATTTTTAAACATCACATTTTTCAGAATATGTCAAATAAAATGTGGGTACAATAAATAAAAAGCACATGAAAAGTAAACTGATTCATGGGATCCTAAGACAAGCAAGGCAATACATTTTTGTGTAGACTGCTTTGTGTATTTATTGTGTTAAGTGTTATTTGTGAAGCACCATCCCATATCAGAATGAATTGCCCCAAGAAGATTAATAAAGCTTTAGATTAAACTAAACTAAAACTGGTGTTGACACAATTTACATAAAACTCAATTTACATAAAATGCTGATCCATGTCCATAGATGTCAGTATAGCGACTAACACTTTTGTGTTTTAAAAGTACACAAACAATCTTGTAAATGCTATCTGAACAGTCTCGCATAACCAGACCTCAGACTGATGGTAGAAGATCTGGGAATTTTGACCCCTTTAAATGGTCAAGGGCCACATTGTCAACATCACGAATTGAAGCTTTTATGCAGTAAGTATTGTATACTTTTAATAATTTAGCATTTAAGGTAATTTGATGAAATGCTCAATCACAAATTTATCCTCAAAATTACAGAAGGGTGTGCAGCCAATAAATCACTGATTCATGAATGTCTCAGAAAGTTATGCTTATTAATGAGCACTGTAATCAACATAAACATTGTAGCTTTTTATCCGCTCAGACTTGTTTCTAGGGAGCGGATTAAGATTGCTGCACACTTGACTACCGGAAATCCTGTATAATTAAACCAATCTAAGGATCTGCTAATGTGTTTCCAGAAAGTGAGCTATATGCATCAGATGATTAGCCATAGGTCCGTCATCAGTGTTTAGCGTGAAGCCTGAGGCTGAGACTACCATCTAAAAAAATGAATGCACATTAAATATCTAACTCTCAAAAACAGATCTGCATTTCATGAAATCTGAATTTTCATTCATGTTTACAAAAACCCATTTAAGCTTTCAATTTGGAGCAGATAAATACAGACAACAAGGCTCCACATGGCATCTATTGAGTTCAACTATATATTTGAAACACTATCTATGATAAAAATGTCTTCTTAACTGAAAACTGCAACACTTTTACACATGCAATCATGTCAGCCAGTGGAAATTTCCCAACATTTGGGAAAGCAGGGTCTTGTGACCTTTATCTTGGGATGTGACTGCAATGTAAACATGTACGCTGGAGTGTGTACACTGACAATACGAGAACAAGATGGAAAGAGACTGCAAGATAAAATCAGTGGGAAACCTAATGGATTTAAAAGGAAAACTACACTTATTTGAACTTAAGCTCATTTTAAAACATTCATCTCCAGCTCTGGTGGGAGCCCTTTTAGCTTAGTTTAGATTATTTAATCAGATTAGGTCATTAGCATCTTGCTCAAAATTGAACATAAAGTTTCGATAATTTTCAAAAAAAAAAAAAAAGCTTGACTCTTGCTTTGGTACATAATAAGACTGACAGAAAAAGTGACTTTTTTTTTTTAAGGCTCATACAGCTTGGAATTATACATCCATTTCTAGCTAGGGACTATATATATATATATATATAAATATATAAAATACTTTGTCAGAATGAAAGTATAGTTCCTACCAGGAAATCAGATAGTCAACAAAAAAATCTATAAAACAGCATAAATTCTGTATTAGGAAATATGAACTTATCGGAAATAAAGGAAATAAATCTCAATGCATAAAGTTTTTATAAAGTATTTGATTAAGTACTAAATGTACAAATCTTTACAAAATGCACTATTTTTCATGGTATTAGATTGAAAGACCAGAGAAAACCTGTGCAGTATTATCTGAAGTAGACAAAAGGCTTAAGCATTTGTATGGACTATTTTTAAACTGGAATTTGTCTCTTGTTTACTTGTGATCTGATCAAGTAAAATGTGTCTAATGACTGTGTAAACAGGGCAGCATCAGTCATTTTAGCAGACTCCCTCCATCTCATCTGCATAGTCATCCTTGCCTTTCTCATGGTAATCTTCATAAACTTGCCTAGTAGATAGGCGTGCAATGAGGAAAAATAGATTGATTGCATCAATTTCAAATTGCGCAATGATAAGAAATAATACAGATCATGACACCAAACACATAAAAATGAAAGTAACGACTGTAGTTTAAAAATGTAAGGAGTAGAAAGTAGAGATATTTGTGTAAAAATGTAGGAAGTTAAAATATTTGTACTTTATTACTTCCCATCTCTGGTTCCTACCCATATCCACTTAGAAAATAGCATTTTCATTTTCAGTCAGTCCATTTTCTTCAAGATACAGAAAGGTCAACTCTTCACATGTTCCAATCCAGTTTAAGTTCTTTCCTCTACTGAACACAAACCTTTGCTATTTTAAAGAATTGTGGAAATTTTGGTAACGATGGTATTATTTCCTACTATGGTTACCAGTTTCCAACATCCTTTAAAATATTTGCTTTTGTGTTCAGCAGAAGAAAACAAAACACTTGAAGGTGAGTAAATGATGAATACAGTATCATTTTTTTTTTTTGTTTTAACTATGGGTTAAGACAAACATGATGGCATGGCAAGTTGAGATATGTCTCACCTCCAGGATATGATCTCCAGGTGCCAGTTTGCCATCTCGGGCCACCAGTGAGTCACGCACGATCTCCTGAATGACGATGTTGCCCAAGGGCGTGTCTTTTCCTCCCACTATACGCAATCCCAAATCCTCGCCTGGATCTTCACGAAACAGCTCCACCACAGTCGCCTCAGCCACAAGACTGCACCTCAGAGGGGTGTCTGGGAAAACCAACAGGAACCGGAGTTGGTGAACAAATGCTCACAGGTGCTAAGCATTGCAACATACAGCAGCTAATCAAATTATCAAAGGTATGATGCAATATTCTCATGAGGTAATAAAACAGCTGCAAGGTAACTTTATGACTAACAGCATTTCCATTAATCTGGAAGACAGGTCCAGACTCCCCTTAGGCTTTTCATACGTTTAAACAGATAAATCTTCTTCGTGAGTATACATGTTTTCAGACAGTTGTTTTTTTGCCACAATGTTTTTTGATGCAATATTCACAACATCTAGATACTCCCCAGGCATCTGCTCACAAAATAAAGGACCACATGAAAGATTCCCTCTGTTTTGGTTTACCCAAAAGTAAACACAGCTGCAAATCAATTTCCTCTGCTTTTCACTGTACGTGTTACACTCTTCTCACCTTTTCTCCTGAGCTGCCACAAATCAGAAACATGTTACAATCGTAATTCAACACAAGACAACACCAAGAATGTGCTTCATTTATTTGTAAATCTAATCCTTACCAGGTGGCGTACAGTACAGAGAAAACTAAAATATTAAGCTGAGATTTAGATGTTAAGTTTACAATAAGTTGCGGTAATATTAAACATTAAACTATTATTTTTTTGGATCATTTTATTAAGATTTAAAATAATCTATGTGTCATTATATAAACCAAAAAAATATTTATTCTGAGATTTTGGTAAAGATTAATTATTGAAAAATATTATTACATTTCTAATTAGGTTGAAAGATTAACCAAGTAAATATTGACAGCAACACTTAGGGACAATCCCAATTCTATTTTTGTACCCCTTTCCCCTTGGCTCTCGAAACAAAGAATGAAGGGGGAAGGACCTCAAATTTTACCCCTACAAAAATGGGACAGCACTACAACACCTATACACGTCATAATATGTCATCGCAATCTCTTACTTGATCGACGATGGTGACTGCTATAGTTATTATAGTTGCGTTATTTTTTGGTATTTATCTTCAGGAAATCACTGAAGGCAATACTTCCGGGTTTCTTTCAATTCATCCGGGTCAGAAGTTGGAAAAACTTAGAGCGCAGTGAATGGGAACTCATTTTTTTACAATCTTATTTGCTCAAATAATGAAAGCAAAACTCCATAATGATGTTATAAAGTCTTTAAGAAAAAGGGAAAAAATTGTGAGAGACTGATGATGGCAACCAGAGGAGAAAATAATGTCAAATTTGCTGTCCTGTCCTTTAGACGCAGCATTAGAAACTTCTCGCACAAGCTGTAATTAGTTTTGATATAAAGTTTTATTTATAAATAAATAAATAAATGTTCATATGTTTAAAAATAAAAATATTAAAAACTTTAAAAGGTTAAAGATGCTGATGACCGTTAAATGAGTCATAACAGGCTTGTTAAGAGTCCATGCTATCATAACAATATAATGTGGCAATAAGATCATAACTGTAATGTGCATTTACAGCGTAGCCATATCCATCTATGTAAACACATGAAAACAACATTAACATTATACCAGAGACTGTAAAAAGGTCATTTCCAGCCCCTAGACTTTTCTGACAGGGTTTTCGAGTGTCAGAGTGTCAGATGTGAAAGTATATTGTGGGACTACAATAGAAGTTAATATGGATTATATATCTTTGTTTTTTAAAACGCTTGACTGTAAAACACGAACACTGTTATAAATGTATTAAATCATATGCTTGTTTGATGTAAAAAATTCGTAATAAATGACAAAAAAAATAATAATAATTTGTGCATCTCCCCTTAGTTTCGAGCGTGGTCCTGAAAAATCCGTTTCGAGGGCTATCTAGCTCTTGCCCTTAGCCCTATGCCTTCAAGCAAAAGAAAATTGGAACACCCTTACCGCTTCAAGTGAATGCCCAAAATGAGAGGTAGGAGTAAGGGGAAGGGCTAAGGGATAGAATTGGGATTGGGCCTTACTAGCGCTCAAGAAATGAGCATGAAAAATTAAATGCCTAATCTTGACTGGAACCGAAAAAAATAAGAAAATAAAAAGGTCAACTAGCGGTTTGATACCAAGCATCAAACCAATGTGTGCCATTTTCCTTTCATTTAAATACTGCAGCTCTTGAACGCCAATTACCTATCATTGTAAGTCTAAATCCTTTTTTAAAACTTATTTCTTTATATATTTTATAAATGCAGAACACAATGAGTAATTTGTTTTATTTTTATATCATTAGAATGGTATCAGTCATAAATATATGTATGCTTTATAATGACGTCAAAATAGGAGTGAAATAATGTTGTCATCAAGGTTTTATCCAATATTTTTGAAAATAAAAAAGTAAACACTTATGAAATTGAATATGCTCTTCTACATACATAAAAAGACTTTTGTTGATTTTATCTGATGCCGACACTAAAATGCGATGTCTTGGAAAAAGAGATTTGCATCCATCAAAATCTTTGTCTTTGACCTGAATACCTCAAATGTTATTTCAACCTTAAATATCCTAAATATTTAATGACAAGGATCAGCTAACACTCCTTAGTTTATAAGGTTCTGTAATCATATGTAATGGTAAGTGATGCAATACCATCTTCGCCCTCCTCGAAGGCGGGGTTGACCAGTCCAGGTTCTGAGGGTGCGCTGAGCTGAGCTGTGCGTCCGATTGTTTGGGCAGATTTGGCATCAGCTAAATCTCCATCTGATTTACTTCCCTTTAACTCATTCCAGGAGGGTCTCTTTTTTCTCTCCGCCTCCTCCCTGAGTCGCTTGAACGCAGGGCATCTGAAAAAGAGAGAATTGGAGCACAGTGAGAGCTTATGCTTCATTACTCAGTAGCCTACCGTTAATTAACCTACAAGACATTCATTACCAGATGGCAGCAGCGGTAACTAAAAATATCCCAAACATGCCCCATGCTGACTGCTGCTCTGAATCTGCCATATTCAAGAGTCAGCAGAAAACAGCAGAGCAAAACAAATCAATGCTTAATCGTTTGGGTGTAGCGGTTATCTGTTAGCTTAGACGAACATGCTCAGGGAGTGGGACTTCTCAGTACTGAAGCTATGCAGATGAAGAGATGATGAAGCTTTTCTGCTGCATTGCAGGGATGGAGATGCTACAATCACAGTCAGGTCTGGTCTAGGCTTCAGCATGTCAACACCTCCCTCCCTATCCCACAGATGCTCTCTCTGTTTACATTGGGCCACGTGAACTATTAGCCAAACAACCTTTAGACCATGCTGTTACATCACAGAAGATAAGTATACAATGAAACACCAGACGAAAACCTATGTGAGGGACATGAACAGTCAGACAGGGTCATACCACATAGTGTTCTATTAGAAAGCATGTGTCTGTTTTAGTTAGAAAAGAAACATTGCACTACACTGTGTATTAAATCAGTGCACTGTCTTAATTTAATTCATTGTTATTTCTGTAGCACTTTTAAAATGTAGATTAAAACTGTCAGTTCAGTTTTCAGAGCTGAAGTTCAGTTTAGTTTAAATTTCACTGCTTAGTCTAAACACTGAAGAGCAAATCCACCGATGTATTATTATAATACATCTGCTACACAAGTCAATGTACACTGAACAATAAAACGAAAGAGGGAATCATTCAATGAAGTTGACTAAATAACTTTTTATAGAACTCACAAAACTTTGCAGTGATTTTCTTTATTGTATTTATTACAAGAACGCTCTGCTAAACAGATGTAACATCTTTTTTAGCATGTTGCATTTGATAAAGAATGATAAAAATCATTATAATTATTTGGAAACTGCTTTGAGAGTCACGTCATAATCTGATTGTTACAATCTGAGCCATAATCAAATTACGAGGCAACACTTTTTCTAATTACCAGAATTAGGGCTGCACGATATTGGGAAAATCTGACATTGCAATATTTAATTTTTCTGTGATATAAGATGCGATATGAATACAATTTTAACAGATATCTGAAATTGGGATAATTTTGTAGCCGAGTGAATCAAAAGTGAAAGAAGCAGTGCTTTATGGTTTTTAAATGAGTCAAACAGTAATCAGATATTCGGTTACAGTAGGTGAATAATCAAATGTAATATATAACTATAATTCCAACTCAACATTGCAGATCCTACGACGTGGGACTACTGTGAATATATTGTGCATAGGCATGGGACGATAACCGTTTTCAAGATATACCGCAGTTGGGAAAAGTCAAGGTTTTAAAGCCACCAAAATTGTCTGCTATATTATATATAATTTATATAATATATATAAATTGTAAAGAAATCTGTGTTTTAGAAACTAATGAAGACAGCACAAGTTAATGATTAATTTGAATTATTTAACCTGACATGTTTACTGTTCCTAAATATTTTAAATGCTTCTCAAAATAAAATATATTGTGTTCAAAGGAGGAAAAAGTTCTTGTATTTTACCCAGACAAGCTCAGTTTTACAAAGTAAAAAAGAATATATTTTAGAGCAGTAAACAATGCCATGAAAGGTTTTCATAATATTTTTATTCAAGGTTATCATACCGTCAGAATCTTATAATTGTGCAGCCCTAACCAGAATCAACCTTATTGTTTTATATTTATAAAAATAATAAAGTTATGGAATGGTAATGAGTGGGTTGAGCTTATAATAAAGCTTAAATCCCGAACCTTAACAAGCAGAAACTGGATATGCCAACTCCCATGTGTTCCTGGCAGATGGCGACCAAGCTGTACTATCTGCACACATTCTATAGTAATTACTCATGTGACTCCTAATTAACTCCATTATGTAAGAGTGTCACCCAGTTCTTTCAGCAGTTCAGCTTTTTAGTCGGTCATACGGTCCTGCTCACGACTATTATTTAATCCCGCTCAGCTCTCACCAATCTCTGTTCACATGAAACCTGAATAAGTGGAATTCCACACATTTTTAAGCAGCTCTCCTAATACCTACAGTAATGTAACATGCACATTTAACTACTGACTTTTCATAAGTAGCCCAATTTCACTTCGCTGGAATGATACCTGCATTATCGCTTCTGACATTTCTTTGTGTTTATGCCTTGATGACCAAGTGAAATGTAAACATCTCTTTAATCAAAAACAAAACATTGCAGCATGCACTAACCTGTTGTGCAGATGAGGTTGCAACTCACAACGTTGCATGCTCAGCTCGCACTCACTGCGAAACGGGCACAGCACGGCCAGTTTGTCCAGCAGATTGCGTACCAGCAGGCTGGAGGCTCTGCATTGTTGTAGCTGAATCCTTTGGCGGTCGACAGGACAGAAGTCCTGGTCGTGCAGGAAATTGCTGAGGCACTGGAAGCAATAAGTGTGGCCGCACGGTGTGTCCATAGGCTGCAACAGAGGTTGTAGGCAGATGTGGCAGACCAGCTCATCATCCACCTCATCCTGATATTCAAACAGATGACTGTCTTGGCCATCATGGCACTGTCCACATTCCTTACACACCCGCGCCCACGTTACACCGGTCGGCAGTGAAGACGTCTTAGACTCCGTCATGGCCTGGAGAAGTTGAGCTAGGCTGGAGAGCCTACGCCTCTTTCACAGCTCACAAACTCTACATCAGCTGCATCAGATGAGAAGCAACCAAATATTTCCAATCCAGAGAGAGAGAGAACAATCTGCTAGCTGCTTCATCTACACCCAAGTTTCTGTTGGAAAAGAGAACAAAGAAAATCTGAAACTCACGTCAGGGCATTTCTTTTTTTGGCTCATGCCGGCTGGACAGGAAATGACATGAATCCACTTAACAGCAACAATATGGGGAGAGGGCTGCAGCTGCATCCTTTCCACGAGTTTCCTCTAAGTTTGGCCAACTATCACTGTTCGAGTCATTAAAGCTCTGGGAAATGACAGGAGGGTAAAACTCTCCCTCCAGGGTAAACATAGAAGCTGCTCTAAACAGGTTAAATTGATAAATTAATAGAGTAGAAATGACAAGCTGGTTGTTAATGACTTACAATCAGCAGTGGGTCACTTCTCTCACATAATCTCTGCTAAATCCATCTACAATTAAAGCATGTGTACTTAACCTTTAATTCATTAATAAATTGTTACTTGCTCAAATAAAACAAAGATTATACCAATTTATCAACTAAACAATTTAAACATAACTTATATTTAAATTACAATAAAATGTTCCAGCTCTTTAAAACCAACATACATAAATCAAAGTTAGTGCACGTGTTTTAAATGATTTCCTTTCTATGTACAGTGGATACTTTCATATCAATAAAACTCATCCTAAAAACATCTCATACAGAATATTATAAAACAGATGATAACACTACAGCAAAAATTCTCATTCAGTAACACAATGCAATGATACAATTAACAACCGACACTTCGATAGATGATCAAAACAAACACACTGTCCGCCATGAATGTGAGGTAGTAAATCTCAATCATTACCCCAACCCACCTCAGATGGCAGCGCAGTCAGACTCCTAGCAGCCGCTGCATGAAAACAAGAAACTCAAGCCCAACAGCTGCGCCGGCCGCCTGCAGCCTGACTGAAACCAGAGCCCGTCATCTCAACTAGGGACAGAGTGTGTTTGTGCATGTGAGTGTGTGTATGCAAGGACGTGCCGTTAAAGGGGACTCAACAGACTGGAGAGAAACGTTCAGAGTCCGGCTGTGTCGACTCAGGAGGAGGGGTTGAGAGTGTGCGTGTGTGTGAGAAACGGAGGACGAGGGGGAGTGTAGACTGCTGATGTGGTACTAGTGCATGCAAAGCATTCTAAGAACCGAGCTCAACCTCTGGCCAATTACAGCATACGCATGGATGTGTGTGTATGTGTGTGCGCTGTTCGAGGTCAAGCAGGACATATTTCTCTCTCTTATTGTCCTCCTCTACATTCTACTGATAACCTAATGAACATAACCCTGTGAGGATAATAACTCACACAAAATCAGTGATACGCAACTCAAAAAAAAAGAAAAAAAAGAAAAAGTAAAACGGTTACACTTTATAAAAAGTTTTTTTTTTTTAATAAAAATAGAAACTGCGTATAATGCATTTATTAATCTTAATTAGCATTAAATTCCACATTTATTAAAATTCAAATATGTTAATATTATTAAAAAAAGCTGGGCTAGTGTCAGCAAGCAATTAACAATTCTGTTTTTATTTATTAATGTTAAAGACAAAATGAATACTTTAACAATAGGCCTGCGAAATATTTTGTTTTAGCATTGATTATGCAATGTGAGCACCCGCAATAGTCACATCGCATGGATATGCAATGTTGAGTCAACTTTGCAGTGTAATTTTTTACATTTACATATGCAAAACCATAATGCATGCACTGTTTAATTCTCTTTTATATTTGCTTTATTGCATTCATCTATGCTTGTATAGTTAGTTACATTTCATGCATGATTCACTCCCCCACAGAATCCTCCCAATCAATAAAAATTAATATAATTGATAACACTTTAGGGACCAATTCTCACTATTAAATAGTTGCTTGTTAGCATGCATGTTATTGAGATATTGGCTGCTTATTATTACTTATAATCATTATGTGCATGATTCTATTCTACATCCCTGACCCAATACAGAAATATACCTTAAAATATTTTAATAAGGAGCAAATTAAGAGTTTATTGAAGCAAAATTTAGATGTATTGTTTTGCTAGTAGCGACAATTGAACCTTAATGTAAAGAGTGACTATAATTCTTTTAAAATGGTGCCATTCAATTATTTGATGAAATTGTAAAGGAATAGAAGATCGCAATATATATCACTGAAAAATTAAATATCGAAATCTCTGATTTTACCAATATTGGGCAGCCCTATTTATAAATAACTACCATTAATGAACCAGAAATTGGCAAAAAAAATAAAAATAAATAAAGAACAATTTTTTGGAAGCACCTTAGCCAATAATGCAATTTTTTTTTAACTATGAACGTTTTTTATTATTTAGAGTTTGCAAAAGAAAATAAATAAATAACGTACATAATTGCTCATACAGAAAGAGACTTACAGATGTTGCATATGCTTTGTATTTTCTTCCCTTTAACAACAACAACTATAAACAGTAAAACATGAGGAGCTACAAATCATTTAGAAGATTGGCGGTTCATTCCGCTGTGGTGACCCCAGATTAATAAAGGGACTAAGCCGACAAGAAAATGAATAAATGAATGAATATATATATATATATATATATATATATATATATGTATATATATATATATATATATATATATATATATATATATATATATATATATATACATATATATATATATATATATATATATATATAGTGTGCACTGTTTCAATCCATTCTTCAACTGTAGACGACTCTTTTACTAGCTGCCAGAAGAATAAATAACAGTGTCTTTATTAATCCATCCATCTGAATTTCATTCATTCATTTATTTATTTATTTTATTTTCGGCTGAGTCCTTTTATTAGGGGTCGCCACAGCAGAATGAACCGCCAAACTTATCCAGCACATGTTTTACGCAGTGGATGCCCTTCCAGCTGTAAACCATCACTGGGAAAAACTCAAACACTCTTGCACACATTCACATACACTACGGTCAATTTAGCTTATACAATACACCTGTACTGCATGTCTTTGGATTGTAGGGGAAACTGGAGCACCCGGAGGAAACTCACACAAGCACAGGGAAAACATGCAAACTTCACACAGAAATCCATCAAAATTTATAAGATCTAAATATGAAGATTTACAAGTGAAAGTAATACTTCAAAATGGCATCTAAATGTGCAGCATAGGGTTAACTTCTGACAATCCCAAAAAACATGATATTAATTAGCTACTTTTCCCCACACATTCTCCAACAGCTAGTGCCCTATTTTCTAAACTATAATCTAATAAAATAATTTAACAATTATAACAATAACATTAAGCAAATATCAAAATGAATATCCAGTTTTACACTGTACTTATTATGCTATGCATACATTTAACTAATAAAAATGCTAAATAGTAGGTTTTGGTGACCGTTTTTCAATTTAAACTAAACATTTTAAAAGTTTAATGTCAGCCACAACATGAAAGATATCAGCCTACCTATATATGGCAAATTTTAAACATTGGTGCAGCCCTCATATTTAATAAGATACCCTATACAAAATAATGGACTGTCACTGTCACTTTAAAATATATACCCACAATGCTAGCAGGCTTTTGCAGTGCAAATGACTGAAGATGCGTAATGTGTTTTCATCAAAAGATAAGATTCATGTCCCTTCAGTGCAAATCTACCAAATTTACATTACTGCAAGGCAAAATGTAAACACTAAAGATTATGGCCCCGATATACTTAAAGCGAAATTTCAAACAAAATGGTTTAGGTGTTCACAAACAGTATATAGTTTTTTGCTTCTCCCCTACATGAACAATGCAAAAGACTTTACTTGGAGTATATTGTGAGGGTTAAGCCTGGTTTATACTTCTGCGTCAAGTGACCGGCGTAACCCACGGCGCATGCAACGCGCATAGCTGTGCATTTATACTTCTGCGCGCTGTCTCTGTTGGTCTGCATTAACACTTCCGAAACGCTAGTTGGCAGTGAGGTGTAAATGTTCCTCTGTGTCGAGTTTTTTCGCTGCTATTTTGCGTTTCCTGAACGTTTCCGAGATGTACAAGTGACTCAAACTCGCTCATTTTGAGGCAGGAACCGGCGGACATGCAACAACTTTAACTATGAGGTAAACACAAAGCAAAGCTTTCCATCCGGAGCTCCTTCACGGGACACTTGTAAACAATCGCTCCATCAGGCTCGCACTATTCACGCGGCTCTCTGTCCCGCCCAGACTCATCAACGCTACCAAGCCGACCAATCACAGAGCTTGCGTCGCTGCGACGTGTAGTTACATTTTTTGAGAGGTGCACGTCAGCGACGCCGACGGCCACGGCGAAGGGCTATGCGTCAGCGCCGTAGCATACGCCGGCGTTTGACGCAGAAGTATAAATCAGCCTTTAGTGTTACACCACAGTAAAAATGACAATAATTAAAACCACTTAGAAAACCCTGAACCCTCTTAAAAAGTGATGCTTTTTGCTTGAATTATGTCTACTGAAGCTGTGACCCTGGTGAAGATAAATGGACTCACCCCATAGCCTTATGGGAGTGTCTTACACACCGAAGACAAGCAGCCTGTCAATCTCTTGTAACGATATTGAGTATGGGAATATTTCAAGGTTGAGCCCAATTATAAAATCCAACAACTCAACACATATCTCCCCAACTGTGTTATTTACCAGTTGGTGTAAAAACAGTCACTAAGCGTGCACTGGTTACAAAATCAATACAGTGTTACTGGCAAGCACTTCTCTGGTCCACCACCTACAGAACAAATGGTAAATCAAAGTAAACGTGAACACCCTGAAACGCAATCACCGACACAAGTCTATCAGGGGACGTGAATCATTATTTCAGACACACCCTTACAGGATGAATACATGAGCAACGGCACAGCCCTAAAAATGACTTAGCTTGGAAAGAATGAATATATACTGCTCTAGCATTCTTTTTCTCAAATCAATAACAAGCACAAGAACCAAACATGCAGATCAAACATTGTCTATTCTAACCATTAACACACTGCCTCTAACCAGCATTTCAGGTCTTAAAGAGGCAGTTCAGCCAAAAACTAAAATGGTTTCACAATTTCCTCCCCCTCATGCTATCTCACATAAAAAAGAGGCATAATGATAGGGACTGACCTAGTTAACATCTTATTTTGTGTTGCACAATTAAGAAAATCAGTGTACAAGATTCAATTAAAACAGAACTCTAACAACAGGGTTTCTGCAGGTTTCACCAAGTTAAATTTAAGACTTTAAGGTTTTTAAAGTCTTAAAGTCTTAATTTTACCTTTTTATTAATTTGTATTTAATATTTTTCTATAACATATAAATTTGTGTGTACTAGTTTTCGGACCATTATCACAAGTTAAGATTCAATTAAAACAGAACTCTAACAACTGTTTTTGCAGGTTTCACCAAGTTAAATTTAAGACTTTTAAAGACATTTTTAAGACCATTATGAATGAAATTTTAGTCTTATACAGAGCTAAATGTTGAGGATTTTTTTAAAATATCCCAGTTACAAAATATTTTCACTTGTCCTATTAAAAATTTATAAAAATTAATACATTTAATAATACAATGATTATGTTTTAATTTTTTAAAATAAATTTTCACATATATCCATTAGGCATGGACTGGTATAAAATTCAAACGGTATGATAACCTTGGATAAAAATATCACGGTATTGAAAGTATTGTAGTTACTGCTCTAAAATGTTCTTTTGTAAATGTCTGAACATTTAGAATATTTTAGAGCAGTAAACACGTCAGGCTAAATCCTTAAATTAATCATTGGCTTCTGCCATCTTCATTAGTTAAAAAATGATTTAAATAAATCAATTTACGACGACATCTTTTGAGATTTTTTCTTGTTGTTGATGACACATTGAAACGGTTATTGTCCCATGCCTAATATCCATTCACAAACCCTATAAACCTGATCAAGAAAAGAACAAAACATGATTATCAATTACTTCAGTCTACAATTAAAATAATTTAATAAAATTAAGACCTGCTAAAAAAGGATTTAGGACATACAACACAACATTTAAGACTTTCTAAGGCCTAAAACTTGGCTTTAGAGATTTAGGACATTTTAAGACGCTTTGAGACCCCGCAGATACCATGAACATAGGGCTGGACAATAATTCGATATCAATATATTTTGCGATAGATTTTTTTTCAATAACCATGATATAATTTTTAAACACATTTCCGGTATTTTGATATAATTTTGCATACATAAATATTTTGTTATACATATGATCTTATACATTGTATAATTTGTCACTGAATGACTTTCAGTGCTCAGCCATCAGAAAGAGCTTGATGTCACTTGCGTGATAACTTACATCACAGCAGTTGGTTAAATAAGCTCCGTCGCAGAAAGTTTTAGCTACAAAATAAGTGTGACAAGTAGTTGAGAGAGGAAAGGCTAATGCAGTGGTGTGGAAGTGGTTCGACTTTTTAAGTTTAAGGTTATAGTTTCGGTGCTCTGCAAAATGTGTGGGAGAGTGGTGCCGACTAGCAGCAGGAACAAATCAAATCTGTTCCACCCCAATAGAACATTCTGAGTCAGAAGATGAGGCATCATAAAGTTTAAGCCAACCTGTTACCCCACCAAACCAGCAGTGTCAGAAGAGAAGGCAATGAAGCTAACACAGATTGCTATGAGGCACCGTGTAGGCTTTAAATCAAACTTTGCTAATCAACACCTTCATATACACCTAAATTACTTGCATATAAACCTATACCATGTTGAAAACATGTATGAAACTTGCACATACATGTAAACTTAATGCATGAATACACCCACATACACAAACATATAAACTCGATCCTTGCATATACTCTATCCTTGCATAAACACCCAAATTAACACTCACACACACAAACTCGCTGCATGCTGGTATATCACTCGAGCAAACTTACAAAATAGAATTCACAAACATATTGATCAGGAATCTGGTTATTGCAAAGCTGAGGAAATGGAAAGAATCTGATTATTAGAAGTATTAAATCTGTTAAATAATGAAAATGTGTTAAATAAAATATTATTCTATATAAATAGACTATATAAAATATATAAAAACTATTTTATGTTAAACCTTTTAAATTAATTGGGTAATTATACACAAATATAAATAGACAGATAGAACCCTTAAAGCATGTTCAAGAAAATTCAGTTTGCAGACGTTTGAAGGTACAGACATCTATTGTGTGCGTTCTTGGCAGTTTTGTCCTGTCTTTTTAATATTGTCCATATCGATATCAGAATTATATCATATCGACCGAAATTAAGAAATAGATTGTGATTTAATTTTTTGCCATATCTTGCAGCCCTACCTGAACAAATGACTTTGATAGTTCAGCCAAAATTGTAAAGACCCTCTACTTGCTCAAACCAGTTTGAGTTTGTTTCTTTTGTTGAGCACGAATTAAGATATTTTGAAGAGTACTGAAAGCCAATGAAATCCACTGTATTTTGTACACCTGTGCATATACAGTGCTCAGCATATATAAGTACACAACTCACAGATCTATCTTTTAAATTCATATTTTTCATAGGAAGCTTTACAATATTATATTTGTGCATATACATTAGATTAGTCAGTACTGAAGCTAAATCGGTCCCTTTTATAACAAAAGAAAGTATGATAATGGTCCGAAAACTAGAACACAAATGTATAAGTTATAGAAAAATATTAAATACAAACTTAAAAAAAGGGTAAATCAAGAAAAGCAAACCAAATTTTAAAATTTTGTTGAACTCATTTAGGTTTCGCTTTTTTGTAAATTTTGCTTGAATGTTATTGTATTATCTTTCAATTTCTAAATGTTTGGTGATAAAATATTATTTTAATAAAAATATTTATCTTCAAAACGAAGGTGTTCTCAAGTACGCTGAGCACTGCAGATCTTTCATTGTGTCTAAAGAGATAAAAGAAATTTAAGGATTCATTTTAAGCAATGGTCAGTTTCTCTGGCTAGTTATTTTCATTTTAGGTGAGCTATCCCTTTAACAATAGACCAAATGTGATCAACAACACGTCCTCAGAAACTTAAACACACACCAGAACCAAACCAGAGAAATGTACAACATGCATCATACTTGTTTATGTTCTGTTGTGTATTCAGAAGTGACTCCACCTCCCTGAGGGGCATAACTTTACCTTTTGTATAGAGTTAAATGATACTAACAAGATTTAAAAATAATACTACTTTATTACTAAATTACTTTAACACCACATATCACCTGAAATAAAATGATAATTGACATTTCTAACCTTCTGAAATGGCGGTCTGACCTACACGTTGCAGGTAGATGAGACACACGAGAAAGTAGAAGCCATAAATCATTCATCAATCAGCTGACAGGAGATTCCGACTGTAACCTGGACAACCGAGTGCCCTTGAAATACCTATTGGGTAAAGAAATTATACAAATAACCGGTTTATCTATGTAACTCAACTTAACGACGAACACAACCTGCTAAAACAGTGTCCCAGATGACCTAATATGTTAGAAGCGGTGTCATGTTCGCTTTGCTGTCGCTTTACCTTCATTTATCCAGCTTGTAGTGATACTAAAGCACCAAATGTAGCTTACAACTGGAAGGTAAAGCAAATATTGCGAGTATTGATGTGTCATGTAAGAAATGAAACGCGTTGGACATTTCGCGCTCAAGACCGAAACTCGCCTTACCTGTGCTGGTTTTCCGGAAGTCATAAAACAAAGACGACTCCAAATATAAAACATTAACCGTCGTGACTTCTACTAAACTGCATACTATGAGTATTTCATCACTTCCCTGAGGATTGTCTGATAAGTATAACACGCCAGGTGTTGTTAAACCGTAGGCGACGTGAGCAGCGTGAGTTTCAGACAAACAAGTCGGATCTGACGCTTTCACAGGAAGTTTGCGCAGGTAGGAATAATAAAGTCACCTTTGGACTCAGCGCGTGGCGTGCAGGTGCAGTGATGTGTAACACACCGGGCAAATATTGAATTTATCAAATATGTGAAGGCAGGATAATTATTAAACGTTGTTTTTAAAGTTTATACAGTTCTCAGAAAATAACTTTTCACTTTGACCTAGTGAGGGGCGTGTTGCCACACTATAGCATATGGGGTAAGTTATAACAATGGGAACCTGCTGTAGTGTACAATGCAACATACTGTAGCAGCATTTAAAATAAATCATTTTAAACTTATGAAACGCCAAGATATTTTTGAAACAGTTAGAATATGTAACAAAGTAAAATTTCAAACTAATGAATAAAAGAAAAGTTACATTAAAAATTGTGTTATTGATGATAAAATAGCCTAGATACAGAGTTGGGGCATGCACCAAACAATGTAAAATATAAAAAGTACACAATACACAGTTAAAACAATGCACGAAAATGTACTTTTCACTTTATTCCAACGTGTTATCACACTGTAGGGCAAATTTTCACAACATTTCTTTATTATTGCAGCAATTAAATTAATACAGCAGTTAATACCAAGTTAGTAAACACCAAGTTAATCATGAATCGGTAAGAAAGGGTTACACTAAAAACAACATAAGTCTACGTTTGCTCCACTGGTGGGGCATGTTGAGACAATGGAAAACTTCATTATACAGCTTTTACATTTTATTACAACAGTAATAAAACAATTATATTCATTAACAATTATTACCAGTAATAAAATAATAAAAAAATACCATGATAGTCATGAAACTGTGAAAAAGGTACGACAAGATCAAACCATTGCTTTTGACAATCAACAGTGTTGGGACAGTGTCTGCAAATATAAAAAAAATTTACAATATACATAGGATTACATTTGTTGTGAGCAACACTGTGGCTCAGTGGTTAGCACTGTTACCTCACAGCAAGAAGTTCGCTGGTTCGAGTTCCAGTTGGGTCAGTTGGCATTTCTGTGTGAAGTTTGCATGTTCTCCCCGGGTTGGTGTGGATTTACCCCACAGTCCAAAGAGGTTGAGGTGAATTGAATAAGCTACATTTGCTGTAGTGTATGTGTGTAAATACGTGTGTATGGATGTTTCCCAATATTGGGTTGCACCTGGAAGGAAATCTGCTGTATAAAACATATGCTGGATAAGTTGGCGGTTCATTGTGCTGTGGCGACCCTTGATGAATAAAGGGACTAAGCTGAAGGGAAATTAATGAATACAATTGTTGTCTTCAATGGCAGGTATTGTTATCACATGATGTTGTCACAATGGGAAGCTGCAGAAATTCTATTATTAAGCATAATTAGTATTTTACAGCAATGTTTAACTCTAATGTACTTATGAAACATTAAGTTAATTATGACAAATTAATGCACAGAAAAGCACTTTTCAATTTAACCTAACAACAGGGGATGTTGACACACTGTACAGGGTAGAGCTGCACGATGTAGGAAAAATTTAACATAGCAATATTTTTTTTATTTTGTTATACATATTGCGCTATGATTATAATTTTACCAGAAGACTTAATATCTCTATTTGGAAAGAATTTATAATGTTAGATTGATTGGCATGATTATATAGTGGGAGTGTATCTCCATAAAATCTAATTACAATCTTTAAGATTTTTGGGTCCCCCACCACATTGTCGTTGTTGTCTGTGCTATTTGCAGTGCATTTCTGTATTTGCATGTGTCGTGAGTATTTAAATGCATACCAATCTATAAATACAATCAAGAAAAAGATACAATTGAAATAAACAGTGTTTTATCTAACAGTATTTAAGAACTATAACTACGTGATAAAAAATAATTAAATAAAATTGATTGTAGTTAAGGCCACAAATGGTCAGATTTCTTATACCTGAATGCTTTTAAAATAATTATAAAATCGCAGGTAGTAAAAAAACACATGCAAATAATAAAGTATAATACAAACTCAACATTGCATATATCCTGTTATGTGACGATTGTGAATGATCACAATGCAATATTGATGCTGAAACAATATAATGTGCAGCCCTAGTACAGGGCTAGTTGGCACAATTGGAACCTACAGTTAGGGTGTTATACAACATTTGTATATTAACATTTAACTTGAAATCATATAACACTGTTTAACTAACTCTGTAATTATGAAACACCAAGATAATCATGAAATATTAGGAAAAGATAACAAACCAAACAAATAGCAAACCTAGGTTTTGGGCAAGAATAACGAAGTAGGAGGAATAAAGTAAATCAAATGTAGGTACATTCATTCATTCATTCGTTTTCTTGTCGGCTAAGACCCTTTATTAATCAACACAGCGGAATTAACCGCCAACTCTTCCAGCAAATTTTTACACAGCGGATGCCCTTCCAGCTGCAACCCATCTCAGGGAAACATCCACACACATTCACACACAGACTCATAAACTACGGACAATTTAGCCTACCCGGACTGTGGAGGAAACTGGAGCACCCGGATGAAACCCAGGCGAACGCAGGGAGAACATGCAAACTCCACACAGAAACGCCAACTGAGCCGAGGCTCGAACCAGCGACCTTTTTGCTGTGAGGTGACAGCACTACCTACTGCGCCACTGCTTCGCACAAATGTAGGTACAGTGTACTCAATATATTGTTTATATCAATATATTGTTTTATAACATAAAAACATATCAAATGACAACTTAATACTGTATTTGACTATTATAAAAAATATCCTCATCCTGGGAACTCAATAAATTCAGCATTTCAATAAGCTCAGTAACTTCTATTATGCTCACTTGTTTACCAATATACCAAGAGGTCATACTTTATATTTTATTTTATTTAGTTTAAATATAAACTCCTTATATTAATCTTATTTAAAAGAGTATGATAACTAAACCGAGCTCTCATACTAAAGAATATGTTGGCTTTCTCTGAGATTTGATTGATGTTTATGACCTTTTAATTTGTCTTCTGCATGTTTACAGCTATGAATATTCTGCCGTCTCCAAATGTTTTGACAACAGTGCTAATGCTTTATGTCAGCAATTCATTAGCGGCTATTAAAATAACTGAAGTTTAAAAACATGGTCATCATTCATTTTAGCATAATGCACTTGTTTGACAGTTAAGTGTACTCGTTCAAACAGTTCATGTGTGTTATTGGTTTATGGATGCATAATTAATTGCATTGACATTTACTATATATTTTCTGAGCAGACATTTTATATTAGCACAGCCGGGGTACATGTATCCCTCACAGAAAACATTTCATATAAACTTTACATTTATACTTAGTGTTAATACTTTTATCCCACTAGAAATCAGAGAGAGTGGAAAAAAGAGTCTCTCTAAATGATGTCCAATAAAGTCATAATTCTTTGTTTGTGATCCTGCCAGTTAAAAGGTCTTTGACACTTGAACAGTGTTGGGCTAAACCCCCTGCAGGATGCAAGGGAAGTCTGCCCTCATAAAACCTCTCCGCCGAGGCTTGTTCCCTCTGTGATTTACAGTCCAGCACAGACATTGACTATTGCTGATCAAACCAATCACTGTTCAGCTATTCTTTCAAAATCTTGTACATCATCCACAATAGTGTCAGGCAATCTTTAGGGTCAAACCTACATGCTTGATCAAAACTAGTCTCATATACATGTATGATGGTTTGTTTTATTTTATGTTGACTAAATGTGAGCGCATATGGTTAACAATCCACAAAATGATGTGCAAATACTATTATATTTAAAAAGATGAATCAAAAGCAAGCAAAATGTATTATTTTTCTGTGCCATTAGAGAGATCAGATGTTCGAGTGCTACATTTGTGCAGCTGTCGCCAGATGTATACATTCCCATTGAATTGTATACTGAGCGCAAACCTACCATCTGCATGTGGTAAGTGTACAAAAAACAATCGAATCACACAATTTTAATTAAATGTACAATCTTTAGTGTTTCTATAAATGGATCCAATACAAATGTTAATACAACAGGAATCAATTCTGCAGTATGAAATATTAGGAAAGGTCATGTAAAGCTTTTCCTCCTGGCAGCTGATGGGAAAGTCTGTGTGGAGACACGACTAGCGATAAAGGAGACGAAAAAAAACAATAGCAACAATGAGTAACTGACTGACCCTTTTGCTGAATCAATCCCATTGGCTCCAGTGTTTGAGCATGAGTGCCGCAAATAAGAATGAACCTGTTTGTCTTTCCTGGGATCAGTAAACATCCTCAACACAAACAGCAGTGTGAGAGAAAGAAAGTCACACCACCAGGGCAGCTGCACTCTCACTGTATGAGTCTTTTGATGTCTGTAGGGGTGAACTGATAATGAAGGCTCCTACGTCTTAATTCTTTTAATTGTCTTTGTCGTGGACAGGAATCAGACTTACTGTAACACATTTTATTTTTCCATTTTCCAAACCACTTAATCGAGGATCCACTTGGTATATGATTGTTGATTATTTTCTTTTATTTCATTTTATTTATCTATCCATTTCAACCACTTTTTACAATTGTTATTTATTTTCCATTGCCCATTGTACAGTCAGCTTGTTCTGGATATATGCCCATTCCTTCACATCTTTTATTTTGAACATAGCCCATCATTTATCACAGTTGTATTGTATTTATTACAATTTATTTGATTATTTTTTATTGTTTTTGTTGTTCATTTATCCATCCATTTACCAAACCACGTTTTCTGGACAGATGGTATAATGACAGATTGTTTGTTTATTTTTTTCTCATTTAATTTAATACATTCATTCATATCAAACTTGTCTTTAACAGATTGCCAGTCCATTTATATTATATTATATTATATTATATTATATTATATTATATTATATTATATTATATTATATTATATTATATTATATTATATTATATTATATTATATTATATTATATTATATTATATTATATTATTTAACCATACAACAATCACATAATAGCAACACTCATCATGAAAGCCAC